CATTGTACACAACAAGGGCTACTAGAATTGCTGAGCTATCGCTGTTGGTACAACATATACACTGAAGAGATGCTTGCTTACCTGGGCCCTGGAGCAGTAGTACCACTATTGTGTGGCACTGGGACCAGGTTGTTGTGGTGACTGGAGGGTCCTGTAGGCCAACCTTCATGGCCTGGGGACACCTGGAAATCACTGTTGGGATTTTCTGTCAGATTCACTTTAGAATAGGAAACACAAAGAATTCAGAATGATTGCAAGATTATGTTTACATTACCAAATCAGGCTGAATATTAAACAAAAAAACAGAAAAAGGCAGAACCTTTAGCTGAACGGACAGCCCTTATTTTTTGACTCCATAATTGACAATTACTGTATTTGCACAGTGCTTAGCTTACACATTACAACAGCCCACCAAGTGTTCTTGTGGCTCATTCTTCCTTAAAGGTAAATCATAAAAAAAAAAGCTGGTAGCTATCATCCTGTACATTCAATAAGGGCAGAGAAGTAAGTCCATTTTCCTACCTTTACCTCCATGGGCCCAAAATTGGGCTTATACTCACTTCCAATAAAATTCACTCTTCCCCTTTTACTATTTTGTTACTATTCTGGTAACTCCTTTTCCAGAGATCCTCAGAGAACAAAGAAGTCTCCAGGACTGGGACAGAAGGAGATGCTGCTCAAAAAGGGTCCTATCAGTGAATTCCTTGCCTTCATGCCTCAGGGGATTTACAACAGAACTATCTAAATTCCTAAGTGCCTTCTGAAAACTAAATGTATTATCAGACAACTGTTCAAATTGGCATTACCTACCTGGACAGATTAATGATGACAAAAAAATAACCAGCCCTTATTTATTTATTTATTTATTTATTTTATTTGATTTATATCCCGCCCTTCTCCCAACGGGACTCAGGGCGGCTCACAACATATTAAAAAACATAAACACATTTACAACCCCACCCAAGTAAAACCAATTAAAACCAAATATTTAAAGCTGTGCTATTTAAAATTACTCTTAAGATAAACCCGATTTAAAATCCTCCCTAGGNCACGACTCGGTCCAATGCTGCGGCGGCAGTTGTCTCCCAAGCCGCCGCCTGATTTTCCGCCGAGTCGTGGACCAGATCCTCCGGATATGGCCCAAGCTCCGTCAGGAACCTCTCAGGGTCCATCAGTCGCCTGGGACGGAACCATCTAGGCGGTTCCGTCTCCCTGCGGCGAGGGGGAGCGGTCCGGAAGTCCATCCTTCACTTTAGAATAGGAAACACAAAGAATTCAGAATGATTGCAAGATTATGTTTACATTACCAAATCAGGCTGAATATTAAACAAAAAAACAGAAAAAGGCAGAACCTTTAGCTGAACGGACAGCCCTTATTTTTTGACTCCATAATTGACAATTACTGTATTTGCACAGTGCTTAGCTTACACATTACAACAGCCCACCAAGTGTTCTTGTGGCTCATTCTTCCTTAAAGGTAAATCATAAAAAAAAAAAAGCTGGTAGCTATCATCCTGTACATTCAATAAGGGCAGAGAAGTAAGTCCATTTTCCTACCTTTACCTCCATGGGCCCAAAATTGGGCTTATACTCACTTCCAATAAAATTCACTCTTCCCCTTTTACTATTTTGTTACTATTCTGGTAACTCCTTTTCCAGAGATCCTCAGAGAACAAAGAAGTCTCCAGGACTGGGACAGAAGGAGATGCTGCTCAAAAAGGGTCCTATCAGTGAATTCCTTGCCTTCATGCCTCAGGGGATTTACAACAGAACTATCTAAATTCCTAAGTGCCTTCTGAAAACTAAATGTATTATCAGACAACTGTTCAAATTGGCATTACCTACCTGGACAGATTAATGATGACAAAAAAATAACCAGCCCTTGACAAGGAAGTAGTTCTTATATCCTCCCCATCAGATCATCTATTAACTGCTCAAAATTATAGACAAGTTCTAGCATATGCCCTTTTCCTGAGCCCATAATGACGTGACTTGGGACAAACCATGATTGTCATGGTGACCATGAAACCCCAAGCCATCTCCAATCCCCTTCAGCCTCGAAACAGCAGATTAAAATCACCAAATACAATTATTCTTGATGTCCCAATCATCAACTTAGGGATGAAAATGAGAAGTTTGGGCATAGATGCCACTGTGCAACTAAGAGGCTGGTACAAGAGAAGCATCCTTAGGTTGTCCCTTTGGCACAACTGCATATAAAGGGCTTCACATGCAGACATCTGTGAAACAGACTACTAGTAATTATTAGGATCAATCAATAGACAAGCAGTACCCTTGGGGTCAAGGCTGATGCAGCATGGGAAACTCAGATAGATAAACATTAGTTAGGACCACCCACACATTCTTGCCCACGAAAGTTTCAGTAATACCAGTTTCTTACGGATTGCTTTCAATAAATAAATTAAATGCAAAACATGACAAGAACTTGCCTGGATAATTATTTTTTTGCATGTACGAAGCAGGATATGGAAC